GACTCTGCCGTTCCAAATACATGTCAGCTGTGTCTCCTTCCCATCGTCTGTGCTGTGACTATGTCCCAGTTTAGCTTAATTTGGACATATTTTGATTATAAATATTGGTATGACTCCTGAATTAAAATCCTGCTGAAGGAATATTAAAAAAGAAAAACCAGAAGAAGAAGGTATCCATATTGTCATTATCCATATTGTCATTAGTATTACTTGTGAAGCCCCAGACCTTTGAAGTCCACCCACACCCCAACAGTTCTCATCATGGCCAACCGAAGCCCAGTAGGAGGTCTAGAGAAGGTGTTAGAAAGGGGAGAGCATGCTGGCATGATGACCTTTGACCCTCCTGTTACTGGGCAGTGAAAGGGATTCTGCACTTGTCCAGGTGGTCACAAGTGGGTTCAGGTTGCAGGAGGAGCCTAAGGATAAAAGGGAGGTCCGCTGCTTCAGAAGAATTTTCCAGCCCTGGCCGGTTTGGCTCAGCGGTTAGAGCGTTGGCCTGCGGTCCAGAGAGACCCGGGTTCGGTTCCCGCTAAGGGCACGTACCTCGGTTGCAGTTTGTCCCTGACCCTGGTTGGGTCGTGTGGGTGGCAGCCACTCGATGTGTCCCTTTCACATCGATGCTTCTCTCTCTCTCCCCCCCTCCCTCCCACTCTATCTGAATAAAAAATGGAAAAATGTCCTCGAGTGAGGATTAAAAAAAAACAAATTTAAGAAGAATTTGCCAAACCTTGATGTATTTTGCCTTCAGAAAACATTTAAACCAACTTTCCAAGTGTGAGCATTATTGTGGGCCCAGCTGTCAACACGTCAAAACCAATGTGATGGCCTATAATTTTTTAGTCCATTATGGTGACCGCTGAGGGTTATGACAGTACATCCACAGTTTGCTAGGCAGGAATTGACTTTCTTGACGGACAGGACACAGTTCCCTGTGGCCTGGGTCCCCGGAGCCCAGGCAGCTGAGAGCAGCTTTGAGGTGTCAGTTTGCCAAGATGAAGGACTCAGCTCCTTCGTTTGGGTTTTAGTGAGATTTTCATGGGGAACAAGAATGTGGCTAACCCTCGTAGGGTAAAGAAAATACTTCTCGGTACAGTCTTCTTTTATTTCAAGGAAGACTCAAAACTTTGTCAGACTCAACCTCCCTCCCCTGTGCCCCCTACAACATTGCAAAATACAAAACATTCTTTTTCCTCAACTAACTTGCGATTCTAGCGTATGTGGATGCCTGTGAGGGTTCACCAGGGCCTTTTGTTTCCAGTGGCATCGTTTATGTGATGCTAGGACCGCCAGACGTGGAAGGGCCATCGCTGCTGCGTCAGGGGAGGTGGTGCTGTTAGGTGGAAATGGACTTAACCTTCCAGAATCTACTTACACTTTCAACCTGAAGGGTTGGATGACAATAACTAGATATGTGCCAGGTTTCCAGGGCTCAATGTCATATTACATGGGTTTCTTTCTTCTCAAATGGACTGTTAATGTAGGCATACATTGAGCTTGAAAAGGCTTAATCTATCCTCAAGGAAAATATTTCCAAACTGTTATATTGTTGGGCTTCTGTGGACCATCTCCACTTTCTTTAGATTTTTCTTGGATTATAATGATCAAAACACCACTTAGCTGTTTTAAGGCAAAATACTTGTTTTTTGCTGCTGTCTTTCCCAGTGCCCGTCCTGGGACATCGTGTGATAGTCACTTATGAGGTCCCCAGTGCGCCAGGGTGTAGGATGGGCCGCGGTGTTTCCGTTCCGGGAGGGGTTGTGCTGGCCCCAGAAGAATTGGAGGGACTCACTTGATTATCAGAGAAAGGAGCTGGGGTGCACTTATTACAAATGAACAGAGTCCAAACTGCAAGAGCTGCTCGACAAACACTCGGTGACCTCTTACCAGTATGTGCATTGCTGCAAGTACTCGACCCAGGACCTTGTGTCTTCGTGTCGGGCGACAGACATGAGAAATGTCTGTGGGGATAAGGTCATTGGAAAGAACAAGGCAGGTCAAGAAAGGTGCTGGCGTGGGTGGCGGGTTCCTGTTGAAGCAGGTTGGTCAGGAGAGCTCTGTGGTGATCGACATTTGAGCAGACACCTGAGGCTTCAGGTTGAGAGAGAAAGTGAGGTGCCCGCTGAGTTCTGTGGCTGTCGGTGGTAGAAAAGTGGAAGGTGGAATTGTTCTCGGTATGTTTGAGGAGCTCAACAAAGAAGCCTGTGTGTGCGTGTGCGTGTGCGTGTGTGTGTGTGTGTGTGTGTGAGAGAGAGAGAGAGAGAAACAGGGACAGAGGGAAGGAGAGAGGGAAAGGATAGTATAAAGTAGGGAGAGAAAAAACAGTGGGGTCCCGGGGGGCCTTGTAGGGGATTTGTTAGGAGTTTCTGGCTTTGACTGTGAAAGGGGAGCCAGTGGAGGTTTTGACTCTATTTTAACAAGATCCATTTGGCTACTGAGTGAAGAACAGAATTTCGAAGAAGCGAGTGTGGAAACTCGGCCGCTCAGAGGGCCGTACGTTCAAATGCAGAGATGGAAATGTCCGTGTGAATAGGTTGTTAGGGTGAAGTTAGTACCAGATGGCCCAGACTTGACGGGCAGGCTTGGACAGGGAAAGGGTGGTCGCGAGTGTCATTGGGGCATGTTAAGTTGAGATGTCGGTCCCATGTCCAAGTGGAGTTGTTGAATGAGCAACTGGTTCTGGAGTTTAGGGGAAAAGCCTCCGGTTGGAGACATGAACATGGAAGCATCATTCTCGACGGTCCTTGAAGCCGAGAGTCGGGAGGGCATTACTTGGGAACCAGCATGGACTGAGAGGAGAGGCCCAAGGACAGACACTAGAGCACTCCTGGGGACTCAACATTCATTCAGTGAATGTTTATTGAGGGCTTTCTGCTCAGAGGCGGCGGGAGTAGGAACGGAAAGGGGCAGCCCATCAGCTACAGGGAGAGCTGATAGAGAGGTTTCCAGGAAGCCAAGAGAACATGACTCAGGAAGGAGGGTGCAGGACACGATCTGCTGTCATGAATGTGCTGGCCGAGGTGAGACCTGGGGGGCAGCCCATCAGCTGCAGGGAGAGCCGATAGAGAGGTTTCCCGGAAGCCCAGAGAACATGACTCAGGAAGGAGGGTGCAGGACGCGATCTGCTGTCATGAATGTGCTGGCCAAGGTGACCTCTCCCGGGAGGCCATCGTGATCCTGGCAGCAGTCACCGCCGGCAGCGGTGGCATGAAAGCCTGCCTGCAGTGGTCTTGCTGAAGGCTGACACCGAGAGGTGGGGTCTGAAGAAGACGGAGGGTACGTGACCATCTCATCTATTATCTAAGCAGGACACTGCCAATGGACGGGTGCTGCTGGGCGGGGTATGTCAGTACTTCCTCTTGGCGGTGGGGATGGGGGTGTGCAGCAAGAGAGATTTTGTCGAGAAATAGCTGTTTATGTCTATGTTTGTTTTTTCAGAAGCAATTTCTTATATGACTTACCAATTCTTAGTCTATTGGTAATTCGATTACTTTAATAGACTTTGGTATGGAATATTGTTCAGAGCTTTTTTTTTTTTTTTAATAGTGTTGCTTTGTCTCCTTGCAATTTATTTCCTCAAAGAATGAATTGACTTGACAGTTTTGATTTCCCAGTGCACAATTAAAAATATCCTCTTAAATATAGAAGTTGTACAATATGAAAATGAAGTTCTGTACCCTAGAGTTTTCATTATTCAATTGAAATACCTTCAGGGATGAAAGAGTCATAATAATGGTTTCTGGTATTCTAACAAAATAGGTATTTTATATATAATGACTGGCATGTATTTTGGCTAATACTGATTTTATGAGTTCCAGTATTTTTTTTTTGAACAGAGATCATAAACCCTGGATAACTTGTAATGCATTTCAGTCCTTCTTTTTCCTATTGTGAATTGTCCTTCATTGCAATGTATTTTCACTGAGTACTGATCTTTAATATATATATATATATTATGGAGGGCATTGATATTATACCATATCAGTTAAAGAAAAAAAGCAAACCATTTATAAAAAAAATTACAAATAATTTTGATGGTATGCTATACATTTTTTTTTTTCACAAAACAGCAATTAAAAGGGCAAAACAGTATTTTAAAATAATGTTGCTATTTATGATAGCTTTCCACAATCATTAGTTAACATTTTAAGGTACCATACCAGGTTCTCAACTTTGCTTACCCATTAGACTCTGTTATGATGCTTTAAAAAATATTATGATGCACAGGCTCAATTCAGTAACATTGATCAGAATCTATAGGGAAGCTGATTGGCTTTTGATTTTTTTTTTTTTTTTTAATCTATGACTGATATGCATTGAGGTTGAGATGCCCTATTCTGTATACTTAAGGGTAGATTAATCATTTGTGATCATTGATATAAAACCAAAATTTATATACATTTTCTTCCTCCTTTCCTTCCTTCCTTCTTCTCCTCCCCTCCCTTTCCCTCCCTTCCTCTTTCCCTGCCTCCCTCACTAGTTCCTGTCAGTGCTGGCTAGATTGTGTTTGAAACATGGTGCGTGTCCTCGGAGGCACCTGTGACCAGTCTGCCATCTCCTGGTTTGCTTACGCCCTGACGGAACTGGCATCACCTGCCGTGTGTGTAGAAGAATACTCTAAAGTGACTCAGCCATTCCGTGCAGATTTGTTTACGTAAAAACCTGCACTTTTACTTTACTGGGCACGGGAAAACTGCAAGAAAAGAAGCTTACCCAATTGTTTTTACGATAAATTGTTTTTATAATGAATTCCTTTTTTACAATATATTTTTATAGTAAATATAGTACTGTGACAGACATAGTGAATGAAGTAGATACAGTTCATCAATGATGTCTTTTAAAATTAAGGTATGAGAAAAAAATAAGAGTATAAGAAATGAGCTGTGGTTGAAATTTAGCTCTCTGTAGATTGAAAATCTGAACTGGAAGAGGATGATTCTAGACACAAATGAGGGAAACAAAAGACTCAGTTTACTAATTTATTTTCTTTTTTCCCCACGTAGGAAATTTGAAATACTGCCTTGTGATTCTGAATCAGCCTCTGGACAACAGTTTTCGGCATCTTTGGAGCAAAGGTAATCTTAATTAGTATGTATATGCCTTTGCTCTCTTCCTGTCTCTGGGATTGATTCACATGACTTTTAAATATTCTGGAAACTTAATCTAAAAGCGAGAAGTGGATTTCATAATAAGATGTTTTAAGTATTGATTTATCAGGAGAATCCGAGATTGCCTCTCTGTTCACTTTTTCATATGTGTGGTTTCCTCAGGGTGGGACCCGCCAAGGGCAGAGTTACCACTCAGTGTATTTCAGAACTACTATGTGGACGCCAATCCTGAGTCCTCCCAACTATTTGTTTAAGGGCAAATATTTCTGATGCAATGACAGCAAGAAGCATCCACAAATTTCAGTCTTCCCAGCTTCCAATAAACTGATATCTGCAGGGTGACTGGATTTGCAAAATAAAAAAGAAGACATGTTATCAGGATATTAGAATCTCTAGGGATGCTGAAAAATATAGTTTAAAATGAGACTTTCACAGAATTAATACTTCTGTGAGGTTTCATGTAAGAAACTGGCTTTATTAACATTTTTTTTATTCTTCAAATTTTATAGCATTAACCCCGGGCTAGAAAATAATATTAAATATCATTTGCTGGTTTAAACCTTTGCTCTTGCTTGAAATCTTGAATTGTTGTTTTTGCTTTTTATTTCCAAAGGGATACTTCTGCTAAGTTATCAGTGTAAATTTTAGGCCAAAGGATTGATAAGCTGAAGAACTTAACTCTCTATATATTTATGCATATTCTTGATCCTCTCGTATCATTGCAGAAATCTTTAGTTTTCTCAACAGTAAGGTTGTGTCTCAGAATGCATACATGTTGTTAATAAGCTTAATCTGTGGACAGAGAGAGTTGTGATCCCAGAGGGAATAAATCATTACAGATTTTGTATAACTTTTCTTGTCTAATATGATTATGATGAAAACTCTTGGTATTCTAACTTGAGCCATCTTTAAGTGAGCCGACTTCAAATTTCACAGTGTGTTTGTACTCATATTGCCCTCAAAGTTGGAAAATTATTTAACCACAAACTTATCTCTCCCTGAACTTCCCTCTTGCTTACTTGTAATTCTGCAGTGATGTGGGGGCTGTAAGGGTATCAGGTCTTTTTTGTTGAGTTCTCTCTAGTGCCTAGTCTGTGACTGGTACATAATTGCTCATAAGTATAATAAATGAAAGACTGAATTTAATATGTTCATGTAGTACCAAAGTACTGTAGGTACATTCTTTTTTCTGAACTTATTCTATCAGGTTTTACTATATTTTTAGGAAAGTCTGTGAACAACTGTGTTTCATTGAACACACTAGAAATAGATAAAATAATCATTGATATGATCTCTTGGAAAGCATCCATAATAAAAATTGCATCTTAAAAGTCTCATATTTGGAGGAGGCTAAAGGGTCCTATTTAAAAAAAATTTTTTTCCTTTATTGATTTTAGAGAGAGAGAGGGAGAGAGAGATAGAAACATCGATGAGAGAGAACATTGATGGGCTGCCTCCTGCATGCCCCCCACTGGGGATCCGGCCCACAATCTGGGCATGTGCCCTGCCTGGGAATCGAACCAGCCACCTCTTGGTGCAGAGGTCAATGCTCAACCACTGAGCCACACTGGCCGGGCTGAAAAGTCCTATTTTGCACAAGGTGTGAAATGATGTAGCTTTTTGAACTAACTGAAGTTCCTCATTTCCTTAGTTTGTAGAGAATTTGATTTGAAAAACTCCTGTGCCTGACAGACTGTAACTAATCGTTTGATTTGTATAAAACAGCGATCGCTTGGTCAGTCTCTACACATGGAGAGAAGGACAGGTGTCTGAGGTACGGAACGTGCTGAAATGGTTAGGTGGGTCTCATTTCCAGAAGGACATGCCTTAGGGTGGTGAAATGCTCAGTGTTTCATATGCACATCTAGGATAATTCTTGGTTTTCTGGATCCATGCATCATTACAAAAAGCAGACCCACTCATAAATACTAAGGAAGGGGGAAGAGTGTTTTTGTGATTCTCACAACAGAAGCTGTGATTTTATGTTTGAGTTGCTTCTCTTCCAAGAAAAGGCATTTTTTTCATTTCTTGCGAGAGAGTCCTAGCAAATAGTGTAGGCAGCTGGTGTGGGATTTCGGTAGGGGAGGGCTGGGCGCCATGCTCGTGACTCTGTGTCACAGGGCCAGCATTTTCTGTAACCCCTGCTCCCTGCGTGTGAGGACTGAACAGCAGAAATGAACGCGGGGGGCGGGGGGGGGGGGCTGCTAAACTGAAATGCAGAAAAATCTGACGGCTGCTGCAAAGCATGAGTCTCTCCTCTTGAACATCGAGTTCATCTTGAACCTGTGCTAAGGACTCTGCTGAGTAGGTATTTCCTGGGATTTGTTTCAGGGGAAAGACTACTTGAAGGTTTATTTTTTTAGCTTCTTTCTACAATGTTTGACATGTTAAGAAACTTAGTTTAAATGAAACTCAAGGGAGATTAATATTATAAAGCTTTGAAAATGTATTTTGTCCTTACTGTCTCATGAAGTCTCAGTGAGTTTCTTGGTCGCGCCTTGGGCTGGATCCCCACCTGTCCTGGGTTCTGTGGACTTGGTTTACTGTGGCTGCGTCCAGTGAGCACTTAGATGCAGAGGTAGGCACACGAAGAGACAGAGTAGAGATGTCGTTGGTGTCTAACTTCTCTGTAACTATCAGAGACCACTGGCATTTGTGAATGGATATTGCCCTTAGATTTCTTAACCTAATTTTTCTTTTTCTTTTAACATCAGGCTTTCTCTTCCAGGAAATGTCTTTCTTACTCTGAAACATGTAGTAAGTGAAAAAACAGGGATGTTTATGTTTGAACAGCGCTGCTTATTTCTTATTGTAGGTCAGGTTTTCTCAACTTGGGGTCACCAGGCTTATCAGGGTCCTCAGAGATAGTGGGGGGATCACACAGCTTGCTCCAGTAGTGGTTTGGTTGTACCGACCCTTTTCCTAAATGTTGCACGCGGGACTCTGGGAGCCTTTTCTTAAACTGATTTTTTTGAAGTTAAGCTCAGTGTTAGCAAATTTACAGTAAAGAAAGTTTGGGTTTCTTAATTTCCTTTCTTATTCCCATTTCTCAATTCTGTGAGCCCTCTGGCTCACTTCTGGCATCCAGTGTGTTTATTCTCATTCAAGAGAAGTCGGGCACCTGCCATTGCTATGTATACCCTCGTGGCGTTGATTTGCCATGCTGGAGAACGCTCGGTAGCAATCGCTACTTTAATCCTTTCAAGTCTACTTGTCTACATCGTCCCTGTTAGAGCAGTTTCAGGGGAACCATGTTTTGATCATCACCTTGTAATTTAAAAATCAACTCAGGGCTCCTCCTAAAGCTGACCGGGAGGGCCAGCCAGGGCCCATCTTCGTTTTTGAGGGTGCATTTCTAGTGCAGTGTTTTCTCCGGCCTCGTCTCTCACTGCTACCCCTTCCTATGTACTGAAGGACTGACTTAGAACTGTTTATTTTTTTCCAGAAATAGGTTTTATTCATCTTGCAAATTTCCATGCGTCCTTTCAAGTCCAGCCCAATTGCCGCCTCCTGTGAAGGAGGGCTTGTCCCGGCAGGGTGGTGGTCTCCCTAGGGTCTCTGCTTGTTCCTGTCCCTGACCACTGTCCCCTTCTGCCTCTTCGGGGACAAGCTTCTGGAGAGTGGAGACAGCTTGCTTAGGTGGAGGTGTTTCCTTTGAGTCCTGGGAGGAGCCTTGTGGGGCGCGCTGGTGGCTGCTGCAGCGGGGTCTGAGCTGGGTGCTTCCTAGGTCCTGGCGGGGCCCTGGCCCAGTGTGGACAGCAGGCAGCAGGCAGTTCTCATTCGTGCTCTTCTCTCTCTCCCCTCCTCGCCCCGCCCTCTGGTCCTCAGACCCGGTTAGTCCCCCTTTGATTTCTGCTCATTTAAGCTCCATCGCTCATTTTTCCCCTTTGCTCTATGATTCCCAGATGCTTATTTGGTATTTCCTGGTACCACCGGTAACTGATCTTTTTATTAATGTATCCGTCTTTCCTTATAGCTCCTGTGCAAGAATGTATTCCTTTCAGGACTCTGGATTCTGTGCTTTGATACTTGAAGTTTTAACAAAGGCGTCATTAGAATATATCCTCTCTGTTCATTAAGGTATTATGGTGAATTGCATCTTTTATTATATAGAAGGATAGAAAATTATTCAATTTAACAGTATCCTTATCTTCTAACATAAGTGTCCAAAGAGATTTATTATATTTTTATTGTAATCCTTGTAAAAGCTCCTTTCTTTAAAATAATTTTTGGAGGACTGTAGATTAGCTTTACTTTTAAGAATATAAAAATGCTTCGAGAATGCTGTAGTTTCTCCTTAGACTTCCGTCTTCAATTATAGAGAGACGTGTGCATTGTAGAAATTTGAAACATTATGGTTTATAATGAAAACATATCGGTCCCCATTAACAATATTCCCTCTATTGCTGGTTTTACGCTAATATGTTTTCATTATTTCCTTTGAAATGATTTTTATCTGTATTTTTAACCATTGGCTATGATAGATGAAATAGGACCACTAAATAGGAAAATGCCCTTAAAATGGTGAATGCCAGGCCCTGTGACTCTACGCTGTAGGCTCCTGGTACAGGCATTTTAGCTGACTGCCTGGTTGCCCTTTAGACCGTGTCCTAACTGGAATGTCAGCGTTAACCAGAGCATGGCTTCCGGCTGGTACAGCTTCATCCATTCAGGTCGTTTGCCCCTCGTCTCACACACACACTGTTTTTGCCCAGTGTTGAGCCCCAAAGGAGTGAGCCTGATGTGTGACTCCTGAGAAGAGTATAAGCACGTTATTAGTAGTTATCCTCGCGAGAGGCTGAGCCTCTGAGGTGTGATGTCCCTAGTGACACAAACTAAAGCAAAACAGGATTCTGTCTCTGCACCGACCAGATGGTGGGCTATTACACAAACCTAGAAAACATTAGCAACACATCAGCTCCGGCTCAACTATCCAGAGGCGAATTTGACGTTTCGCATTTCTTTTC